GTTCGGTCCGTTTTCCAAAAGATGGCTCCAGCTGTTGTGAATGGTTCATACTGACAGCTGATTTTGGCATTTTCAGAGAGGTTAGACATCTGCTAATAATGTTTAGTTTATATCGCTTTGAGTTTCATACAAAAACCTTGATTTTTACTGTGTTCGAATTTTGTGTTAACCAAGCAGCATTTGCGGGAGGTTCTAATTTTCTGCTTTAATTGGAAGAAAAGTGTAGCTGAAGCCCGTCGAATACTTGTCGAAGTTTATGGTGACACTGCTCCAACTGATAAATCATGTAGGGAATGATTTCGACGTTTCAAGGATAGAGATTTCAGTGTTGAAGACAAACCTCGCTCTGGACAGCCAAAAAATTCGAAAAAGAATTAGAGGCATTACTCGAAGATCATAGTCAAACGCAAGAGGAGCCTTCAGAATCATTGGGAGTAACTCAACAAGTTGTTTTTGCACGATTGAGAGCCATGGGAATAATTCAAAAACAAGGAAATTGGGTGCCTTATGAACTGAAATCGAGAAACGTTGAAAGGCGATTTTTCACTTGCGAACAGCTGATTCGAAGACAACAAAGAATAGGTTTTTTGTATCGGATTGTGACTGGAGATGAGAAGTGAATATTCTACGACAACTCCAAAAAGAAAAAATACTATGCTAAGCCCGATTAATCGTTGCCATCGACATCAACACCAAAGCCGAACATTCGAAGATCATGCTCTGTATCTGGTGGGACCAAAAAGGTGTTGTTTACTATGAGCTGCTGAAACCTGGCGATTCCATTACGGGCGATCGGTATCGGTTACAATTGATTCATTTGAGCCGTGCATTGCGAAAAAAACGGCCGGAATACGAGCAAAGATATGATAAAGTTATTTTTCTTCATGACAACGCTCGGTCTCATGTCGCAAAAATCGTAAAAAAATATTTGGAAACGCTCAAATGGGATGTTTTACCGCACCCGTCGTATTCTCCGGACATTGCTCCTTCTGATTACTGATTGTTCCGAAGGATGCAGCACGTCATCGGTTGACTTCTTTCGCAGAAATCGAAAATTCGCCTTCAAAGAGTCATTTTTTCGAGATGGAATTCGAAAATTGCCTGAGAAATGGGAAAAAGTAGTAGCCAGGATAATACTTTAATCTGTTCATTCATTTTATTTTGAAATAAATGCATTTTTGAATACAAAAAACGGACCGAACTAATTTGTACTCCCAATATATATATTGGGAGTACAAATTTATAAGTCTACAAATAAACGTAAACAATTACCTTTGTAAAACAATAGGACAGTGATTATCATTTATTTCGCCGCCCTTCCGATTTGCTGCGTCTTGACAAAGATACAGGTCATATCCCTGGTCAAAAGGATTAAGTTCCTTGACTTAAAAGAGGACCGACGGATGCATAATCTCAGATTGGGTAATAGCGTCGCGTATCGATGTTAACTCACATAATCTGGAACATAATCAAGTGCGTCCGACTTGTAGCTCCCGCCTCAAAGCGATAACCACAAGAGTGATGTCAGTTGCGTCCTTTTTACGTTTCCCCCTCCCTCCTAACTTCTTCTTCCCATCGAAATATAAGAATCCTGGACGTAACATAATAATGAAAATTTTACAAGCGCAGCCTCTTCGTTTATATCTTCCACGATATTGATCCATCCTTCGCGCCGCTCGTTAGAAATTGGATCAGCTGTCTTGTTCGTGGGGATTACGTCCTTTTTGCAGGGTCAGGTCCAGTGTAAGCGAGTGCACAGGGAATTGCCTGCCATTTTAGATCGCCGAATTTATCCTAGTATGCAGAAGTCGTTTACAGGGTTGCTCGATAATGCGCCCCCAGTCTCTTAGAGCGATCACTGCTGTTTCATCTCCTCGAATTTGGGTGAGGACATCCCTTTGCTATTTTCGTCCTTCTTGGACCGCAACTATTTCGTCCAGGTGAATGTGATTGGATAGTAAGGATAGGGATCAGCTACGTCGCGTCATCCGATGAGTGAATTCGTCTATTAGCTCCTTGAAGTCCTCGTGACTATTATGGAGTTGGACCCCAAATTTCGTGGGTGAATCCACTTTTATTATTCGTGTTTTCAATGGGCTACGTGTTAAAAGTCGCGTGTTTATGCAGGTAATCTTCATTGTTATTTATAAAAAACTTATAAGTTGGGTTTCTTGTTTTTTTTTGTTTTGTTTTAGAAAGCAGGGACAGAAGAAATAGGCAGAGGAAATTCCCTTTATTTATCCTTTTAGCTCACGTATAGGTGGAGGCTTCTTGTTCGGAGGAAAGAGAGAATAGTTGGATTCTGTTCTCGTATTATCTCGTATTTCAAAATTTTTTATTCCTTTAGATTTTGACTCGACGGGAGCTGAAGCAGCTAGGTTTTTGTTTGTACGTCTCTCCTTTCCTAAGTAGTAAAAGTTTGGTAAGTGAATCCCAAATGGCTCTTGTTAAGAATATTGACTATTCATATACGGTATGCAGAGCATATCCATGTACGATTGTGTCTAATATTAGTTTTATGATTCTTATTCTTATATATATTCTTATTATTCCAACGCTAACGTTTCCGAAAATTAGGAATTTGTTCTAAAATTTTTCTCAAGCAGACATAACTATCTTTTCTATTGATGCTTCATCTAATAAGTTAGAGAACGAACTTCCATTCATAAATCCTGGTTGTTCCATCATTCCTCGTGCTATGGTATTGAGTACGGATAGTCGTTTGGCTGGAAACATTATGTGATCTCGTAAGGTTTCTAGGTCATTATCTGAATATATACCACTCGTGGCAAGTGATCTGGGGCTATTTCCAAGTCGGTTTGGTAAGACGGGTGGTAAAGTTTCTACTGGCCGGGGCGTAAACCGATACCATGAATCTCCTAGAAGGTATATGGTAGATGTAAATTACAAGTCATTTGCGTTCCTTGTCGCATCAGGATGAGTTTGTGGTGTTAGAAACTGTGTTCTAATCACAGGTAATTGATCATAACATTCTTGAGTTGAGGCGAGTTTTATCTCAACGGGCACACATTTTACTATGTATATTACTTCTCCAGCCAATAAAGCCATATATTCAGATCCTTGCATTACATTATATTTGTGTATGTGTTCCATGTACGCAAATTTAGAATTTATGTAGGTGAAAATGTCGGGATTTTCTGGTTTATATACTTTGTTGAAAATTTTATTATCGGATGTGGTTTTGAAAATTAATAATTTCGGATATTCGGTTCGTACAAGAACATGGCCGCATAAATCTGAATGAGAGTCATGGTTGGTCCTTCGCGTTGGTCCTTCACTGACAGACAAAGTTATATGATAGTATTTTTTATATTTTATGGCCTTAGCTTTACCTAAGGCGAGGTTTCTAAACAGGGGATTTCATTTCTTTCAGATAACTTCTATGAACCGGAGTCTAAAGGAGGAGTTTTCCGTTAATATCTACGAAATACGCTATATTATCTTTTCGCAAAAATAATAAGTCGCGTGAATCCACAATATTATTACTATTTATTACTTGGTTAATGATAGTAGGTTTTTCTTTCTTCTTTGATTTTCCGTCCTCGTTTTCTTCTCACCTCTTCTGTTTCTTCTTCTTTCGGGTTTTCTTCTTTACTGCTTATTTTGTCTGGGGAGTCGTTTCTGTTTTCTACTTCACTTCTTCCATTTTCATGTTGCTGTAACTCCTGTGATTTTTCCTGTTTTATTTTATTTTATTGCTTCTTGTTTGACTTCGGGTTTGTCTGCTAATAGCGTTAGATGGATCTTGCATTAGCGTTTCCCCCTTTAATGGCGATTTTGTTAGTTCCTTCACGTTTTTTTGTGTAGTCGGGAGAGTTTCTAAATCTTCCTCAGGCTGTTTATTATTGATCAGTAGGCTCAGATCTTTCTCCTCATCGTCTGAAAGGTATAGCGTGTAATTCTCGTCTTCTTCGTCTTCTTCACCGGAGTCTTCCAGCATTTTAGAAATTGCTTCTGCATCTTCAGGGTCATTAAGGTTTAAAGGTTTATTATAACTAATTATTTACAGTAGTTATTTGCTTCATTGAAATCTACAGGATTTCTTGATAATGCGTCGGCGTTTACATTAGTTTTTCCCGCCTTGCATACTACGTCGTAGTCGTATTCTGCTAGTTTTAACCTTCAGTAGAGTATTCGCATGTTTGCATCCTATGCATTTTTAAACCAGAAGAGGAGTCTGTGACTAGGGTAAATTTCCTTCCGTATAAATAAGGTTTGACGCAGTATACTGTAGCTAATGCTTCTTTCTCATAAGTATTGTATTTTATTTCATTTTCGGTTAGAGTTCGCGAAGCGTATGCTATCGGTTGATCTTTATTTATCACTCCTTGTGATAGGATGCCTCCAATTGCTATTCCAGAAGCATCAGTAGTTAAGATAAAAAGTTCGGAAAAATCGGGATATTGTAGGACAGATTCTTCGCACAATTTTTCTTTTAATGCTTGGAAGGAGTCTTTTTGATCCAACGTCCATTCAAATTTGGTGTCATTTTTTAATAAATTGAGAAGTTTGGCTAATTTCGAAAAATTTGGTATAAATCTTCGGTAATATCTGACTAATCCAAGAAATTGTTTGATATTTTTTGGTCTTTTAAGCCTTGGAAATTGCCATACAGCCTCTAATTTCTTTAGGTCGGACTTAACTCCATCTTTACTAATTACATGCCCTAAGTAAGTGATTTTAGTTTTCAAGAACTCGCATTTGTCGGATTGTAATTTTAAATTAGCTTTGCGTAACTGTTCTATTAGCAAATTATACGAGGGGTATCCAGAAAATAAGTTCCGTTTTTTTTACAAATAAAGTTTTTATTGAAAAAATCTAAAATTTACATGGATAATACTTGACAACTTCTAGTCTTTTTCTACATAATTCCCGTCAATCTCAATACATTTTGTATATCGGAAACCAAGCTTCGAAATCCCTTCTGCATAGAAACTTCCCGCCAGTTCTTTAGTCCAGTTAGTTACAGCTGTCTGAACTTCCTCGTCGCTTTGGAAGCGTTTTCCGGCCAAGGACTCCTTCAGTTTCGTAAAAAGATGGTAGTCCGATGGTGCTAGATCCGGGCTATACGGTGGGTGGGTCAAAACATCCCAACTAAACTGATTCAAAAGTGCAGTTGTTGAAGCAGCGACGTGCGGCCGAGCATTGTCGTGAAGAAGGGACACACCTGCCGTCAACATCCCCCTTCTTTTGTTCTGAATGGCCCGACGCAGCTTTTTCAAAGTTTCACAATAGCGCTCCGCATTTATCATTGCGAATCGCATTTTCAATTTTTGTCGTCAACTCATCCGTGATAAGGGAGGGTCTGCCTCTCCCACTTTCGTCTTCAAGCGAATGTCTTCCTGCCTTAAATTCTCGGACCCATCTCCGCACCATAGATTCACTCATCACACTCTCTCCATATACAGAAACAAGCTGTTTGTGAATATCAACCGATTTAAAATCTTGAGCAAAAAGAAACTGAATGATGCCGCGCAAAACAACTCGAGAAGGAATCGGAATGGAGGTGGCGGGACGCGAAGTGGAGGACTCCATTTTGATAACCTCTCCTGACCGTGTTTCACGAGCTACTGACGCCGAACACCGCTCATTCTATTCGGTAGCTTCCCCTCTTCAATGCTGTGTTGCCAGTTCGCTCATACATCGACCTTACTAAACGTATAATACAAACGGAACTTATTTTCTGGATACCCCTCGTATTTTCTTTCGTGTTCTTCTAATGAGGCGGCGTAGATGACAATGTCGTCCATATAAACGAATAACTCTTCTCCCTATAATCCTTAATACCAAATCCATTAATCGCTGGAAGGTAGCGGGAGCGTTTTTTAATCTAAAGGGCATCCGATCAAATTCGTAGTGACCGAATGGAGTTTTATGGCTATCTACAAGATCCATTTTTGATGGAATCCGGAGGCTAAGTCACATACTTTGTATACAAAAGTATTGCGCTCCGCCTAGTTGATCTAAAATATTGACGATATTAGGAAGCATGTAGGCATCGCCAATATCTTATCATTCAAGGCCCGGAAATCCAGAACCATTCTTCAATGTTTGTTTCCTTTTGAATCTCCCTTTTTTAGCACAATCCAGATGTATTGTATGGTGACTGAAAAGATTTTACGATGCCTCCTTCTAACAGTTCTTATACCTGCCTATTTATTTCTTCTTTATGAATTTGTGGGAATCTGTATTGTCGCGTATTTATAGGTCGATCATTCGTTGTAGGTATTTGATGTTGTAATATATTTGTTGCTGTCAACTTCTCTCCAGGGATGTGAAATCTGTTCTGGCTGTCAATTACAAATTTCATTATACTTGTTTCTTCCTGGGGACTTAAGTGTTCTAAACGCAACAATTCTGTAATTTCCGTGAGTCTATCCTTTGCAGTTTCTTCTGACACTACTAAGCATTTGCGTGAAATATTTTTCATATTTTCGATTCGAGGTTCCTGATTAGTTCCCTCCTTGTAGTTCGATTTGCGTTTGCGCATAAATTTTTCCATCATTTTCTGGTATTGATTTTGTGCAGACATTAGGATTTTAAAAGATGGTTTGTTTCTTTTGAAATTATTTATAAACATTTATATAACGATTATATGACTGCATCCTTTCTAAAAGTTTACCGATAGTAACGTGAGAGAAATCATTTTGATGAACATCATTTTTTGTGGGTATTCCAACCCTTGGTAAATTAATTTTTTCGAGAGAGGAGCTCTTTTCTTTTGACTGCCTTTGATAAAGTCAAATTGTATTGCATAGTAAGGTTTAGTTACTTCCCTCCTTGCAACCGACAGGAGTAAAATTTACCAGAGAGGCACGGAAACTTTCCTCTGGAATTCTAGGATTATTTGAATTTTCAGGAGAGGTTTGACAACTTCTTCCTCCAAGGATTTTAGAATTATTTAAATTTTCAGGAGAGGTTTAGTAACTTCCCTCTCCAAGGATTTTAGATTTTAGGATTTCGGAGGGAATGTGGAAATCCTCCTCTCGATGAATATTTAGGATAGAACTTTTACTTGATTCTTTAACTTCCTCTCATTAATTTATTCTCATTCTTTTCTTTAAATATTTCATTTTTTCCTTCTGTCTTAGCGACCTCGTCTTTGTCCATAATTCCGTCGTTGTTATCATTTGAACTAACGTCGTTACTAATGTCTTCGAGATTTTGGATATCTTTTGAATGGGTAAAGCAAATTTGCCTGTTTGCAATTTCTCTTTGATCATCTTGCTTTTCAATGCTTGAGTTATTGTTGTCGAATAATTCATTTAGAGATTTAAGGCATAAGATTGGTACTTGCACTTCAACTTCTTCGTCTAATGTGCTTGTGACGTTCAAATATGCTTTTCCAGAGACGTTCTCTACTATAATATCTCCTAGGTAAATTCCGTGTGCTATTTTTAATTTTGGTATACTTGTATATCCTATTTTTATCTCTGGATTTCCTATTCTCACATAAAATAAAGATTTTGATCATGGTGGTGTGATGATAGTTTCTGGAAAAAAGAAAGGTGTATTAATTCCTGATATATCTAAATATCCTTTCGCATAATCAATTTTTGAGGAAGTCTGTTTGAAAAAATCGTCATGTAATATTCCGGATTGCGAAATAGAGAAATCGCTTGCTACATTATGAAAGGCTATTTTATTTCCCAAAAAAAAGTAGGAAGATTTCTCCAAAAGGTATTCATTTATACCATTTAATTTCAATATTGTTATTGTAATTAATAATGCTGTTTTTGGGAATAAAATTTTCCTTAATTATATTTGGCCCGGAACCGGTATCTAACATAAAAGTAATGTAAGGTTCTAATTTACAAAGATTTACTTCAAAGTGGGTACGTGGCTATGTTTGTCAAGGTTATAGATCGTATTTCTAATGTGTTTTTGCCTATTGGATCTTTTTTTATGTCGATGGGTGTGAGATTCGGTCAGTCCCCTGTGGCACACTCGACTTCGAGGGGCCGTTTCCCTGTTCGTTCATTTTCTTTCGAATATTACTTGCGATTCTTAGTTCACAACTTTCGAGGAGATGCCCTTGTCCCTTACATCGGCAGAATAATGAATCTGAGAATGTCGCGTTTTGCCCTATCTTAGATCGACAGTCTTTAGCAATATGCCCGAAATTATTATAAATTTGGCAAACGATTTTTGTTTTAGTTTCTGAATTAAGTTGTTCATTTTATTTCTTCCAACAGTTGTCGGCTGAGAATGACCGGGTTTATCACACCACTGACAAATTAAAAGAGACTTACTCTGATTACTGTTATTTGTTCGACGAAACAATTTTTAGCATTATGGTCTGATTTAAAACATAATTGACAAATAATATTATTTCCTTGCAGAATGTTAACGGATTGTCATGCTTGAGAGTCGCGAAGTCGACATTTATTAACGCTATATCCGTGTTTTTTACAGATTTGACATACACAGTGCGACAAATATGTTCCCGGACAGGGCCTGAAAATCATAATTGAAACAACAATATGCATATTTTTTGACTTTATTATTCAAAATATTCTCCTCTGGCTTCAATACACTTGTTACAGCGATTCAATAGTGATTCAAATGCATATTCTAGCTCAGTTTGCGGAATTGCCTCTAGTGCCTGTGTAGAAGCTGATTGGATGGTCGGAATGTCATCAAAAAAGCATTCTTTCAATTTCAATTTCAATTTTGGGAATAATGAGAAGTCGCAGGGGGTCAAATCAGGTGAATACGGTGGATGGTTTAACACAGAGACACAATTTCGAGCCAAACATTGACGGACAATCAATGAAGTGTGACTCGGTGCATTATCATGCAACAAAGACCAATTTTCTGGATCACGATATTCGGGGCGAATACGATGAATTCTGCCCATAAATCGCTTTAAAACTTCGAGATAATATGCACCAATAATTGTTTGGCCAGTTGGAACAAACTCTTTGTGGATAATACCTTTGCTATCAAAGAATGTGATAAGCATTATCTTGATTTTTGATGGAACTTTTCGTACTTTTTTTGTTTGTGGTGAATTTTTTGACTTCCATTCCGCACTTTGACGTTTAATTTCTGGATCATATTGAAAGCACCATGTTTCATCACCTGTAACAATTGATTTTAGAAAGTTTGGATTATTTTCTGCGGCTGCAACGATGTCTCTGGAATAATTGATTCTCGCTGATTTTTGATCGCTTCTTAATGTGTGTGAAACAAACTTCGCACAAACTTTCGTTTTACCGAAATCTTCATGTAATATGGTTCGAATCGTTTCTCTACTGATATTTAAAGCCTCCTCCATCATTTTTAATGATGCATTGCGATCGTTTGCAACAAAATCACGTACTTTTTTGATCATTTCGGGTGTTCGAACCAAAATTGGCCGTCTTTTTTTGTCATCTTCAAGGATCTCTCTGCCTTCCAAAAAACGCTTATGCCACTCAAAAACAGCTGTACGACCTAGACATTGACTGCCGTAAACTTGTTGCATCGATCGGAATGTTTCTGATGCACTTTTACCAAGTTTTGCGTTAAATTTAATCACTGCTCTTTGTTCCATATTAAAATTTCTACCTCGATCAAAATCTTGTTTAACATGAACTGTCATATCTTCGTTATATGTCAACCAAAATGAATGAAACTTTGATAGATGATAGTAAAATGTTCAACCTTTAAAATGCATGTTTGAACGCATAGGTGTCGCCACTGGTTGCTGAGATGTGGTTCGTGTCCGGGAACATATTTGTCGCACTGTGTACTATCTCTGTTCCAAAATTAATCAATTTTCTACAGTTTGAAGCTGAAGGTCCTTCTTTATAATAAATCTGACAGATTTCTCGTGATTTATTAGTATTTAGTGCTTTACTCGATACTTTCTTGATTTCGTCGTAAGTCTGTCATCGAATGGGATTCCCTTTCTATCTGTAATGCATCGGCTGCTGTTTCTTGAACTTAAATTTCTTGCTATCCTTTGCTCAATTTCTGGTTTTAATCCCCTAATAAAACACTTACACATATCCTTTTATAAAGATACTTTAATATTTTGATCACAAAGAGCATTTCCCGAAATTTTATGGGCCTCCATTATTTGTTTTCCTAAAATTTTCACCTGATTCGCGTATGTGATTATGTCTTCCTCAGTCTTTTGATAAACTCTCCTTGCCTAACTCTCCTTGCAATTGATATATCTCTTAAGATGGGTTAAGGCTACATTGGGGGTGGAGAATGGATCAAAGGGAACAAAAAATTCTTATCTCAACCATTTTGAGATACTCGTAGTTTTCGAACTAGAAAAGGAAACGACTAAACAATATGCGGTTAAGCTGCGCCGCACGAATTCGTAGGACGGCTGATACTTGAGCGGCGGCAGCGACGGTGCGCAGGGAGGAGGAAGGAACACTTCGTCGCCGCTCGAGTATGGGTCGTCCTACGAATTCGCACGGCGCGGCTTAACCATATATTGGCTTAAACATTTAGGGACGTCGGGGGAGCTTTGATCTCGATATTTTTGGCGCAAATGAGTCTTTTTAGACGACGGGCTTGAGGGGAGATAAATTGTTCGGTCTGTATCCGCGTAATGATTGGGACGTTAGCTTTTTTGAGTTTCTCGAGCTTGGCCCGTTTCTTACGTCCTGCTTTGTGTCTGTTCCGCCAGATCTATTAAAATTTTC